CAGGAATTAGAGCTAATTTCGGTCCGACTAACCTTTTAAAACTACTAATAAGTTAAAATTAGAGTAAAATTGGAAAATCAGATTGAATCGTTCTAAACTATTCAAATCAAATAATCAGATAAAATCGTCTGATTCAAAAAAATGCATGAATCAATCATTTTATTTTATTTTTTAGAAAATTTTAATATGTCATTTTCAAAATGTAACATATTCCTCAAAGAATTTCTTGTTTGTCGTCGTTCAACTTGAATTTTTTTTTATTGGTGTTCAATTAAGTATGTTTTATTGTTTACTTTTATAATTCTATCTTATTTAATTTATATATTCTTAATTATTTGAATTTTATTTTAATTATTATATTCTATTATTTTAATTTTGCTCTGAATTATTTTAATTTATCTTATTTTAATTCTTTAATTTATTCAAATTATTTTTAAATGAAGGTTGAAACTAAGTATATAACTATATTGTATTATTATATGTCTTAATATTATTGTTTTGAGTTTGTAATGGATTTTTGAAATATTTATTTTATTAAATCATAAACATATAATTTTGTGTGACATATCAATAAAATTTAGTAAGGGTGAATATTAAATTCATTAAACTAAAATTCATCCAATCTATCCACTAAATTAACAATCTAATACATCCATTATAAAAAATATTAGTTAATAGATTGAATTCAATTCATCCATTAAAAGTTATGGATGAATCAAATTCATCCAACCAATTTAAAAAATCCATTAAATTATTTTTAAAATAAAATATTTAAAATAAATTCTATAACAATTAAAATAATATATATATATATATATATATATATATATATATATATATATATATATATATATATATATATATATATATATATATATATATATATATATATATATATATATATATATATATATATATATATATATATATATATATATATATATATATATATATATATATATATATATATATATGAAAACTCGATTTTTTCATATTTTCGAAAAAAAACTCAATTTTTTGTATTTCTGAAAAACTCGACTTTTTCATATTTTCGAGAAAACTCGACTTTTTCATATTTCCGAAAAACTCGACTTTTTTCATATTTCTGAGAAAACTCGACTTTTTCATATTCTTGAATAAACTCGATTTTTTCATATTTTCAAAAAAAAAATTCATATTTCTGAAGAAAAAAACTTTGACTTTTTCAAATTTCTGATAAAAATCTAATTTTTCATATATCCGAGAAAACTCGACTTTTTCATATTTCTGAAAAAACTCGACTTTTTCATATTTCTGAAAAAAAAAACTCTACTTTTTCATATTTCTGAAAAAACTTGAATTTTTTATATTTTCGAAATAAACTCGACTTTTTCATATTTCTAAAAAATCTCGACTTTTTTTATATTTTTGAAAAAAATTGACTATTTCATATTTCCAAAAAAACTCGACTTTTCAAATTTATGAAAAAACTCGACTTTTTCATATTTCCGAAAAATTTCGACTTTTTTCATGTTTTCGAAAAAACTCGACTTTTTCATATTTATGAAAAACTCAACATTTTCATATTTTCAAAAAAGTCTACTTTTTCATATTTCCGAGAACACTCTACTTTTTCATATTTTTGAAAAAACTCTACTTTTCCATATTTTCGAAAAAAACTCGACTTTTTCATATTTTCGAAAAAACTCAATTTTTTCATATTTTTTAGAAAACTCGACTTTTTCATATTCCTGAAAAAACTCAACTTTTTCATATTTCCGAAAGAAAATTTGACTTTTTCCATATTTTCGAAAGAAAATTTGACTTTTTCCATATTTTCGAAAAAACTTTGACTTTTTCATATTTCTGAAGAAAAAAAACTACTTTTTCATTTTTCCGCGAAAACTCAACTTTTTCATATTTCTGAAAAAACCCAACTTTTTCATATTTCCGAAAAAACTATTTTTTCATATTTCCGAAAAAACTGGACTTTTTCATATTTTCAAAAAAAAACTTAAGTTTTTCATATTTCCAAAAAATCTCGACTTTTTTCATATTTCCAAAAAAAACTCCACTTTTTCATTTTTCCGAAGAAACTCAACTTTTTTCATATTTCCGAAAAAACTCGGCTTTTACATATTTATGAAAAAACTCAATTTTTTTATATTTCTGAAAAAACTTAATTTTTTGTATTTCTGAAAAAACTTGACTTTTTAATATTTCAGAAATAACTCGACTTTTTCATATTTCCGAAAAAACTTGACTTTTTCATATTTCTCAAAAACTCGATTTTTTCATATTTATGAAAAAAAACTCGACTTTTTCATATTTTTGAAAAAATTCGATTTTTTCATGTTTTCGAAAAAAATTCGACTTTTACTTAATTACTTACAAATTTAATTTTGTGAAATAAGTTTTTTTATAAAATTTAAAATATACATTATTAAAAGAAGTTAACTAATATATTTTATATTAAATTATGTTTTTGGATGGACCAATATTCACCTATTAAAATAATGTTAACGGGTGGATTTGATAGATTTTATTTTTAATGGATGAATGGATTTTATATTTAATAGATTGATGGATTGGATTGGATTGGATATTTTTTAGAAAATTTTAATGGATTGTTAACGGACTATTTGATTATTTTTATTCATTCATTAACAATCAAATTCATATTCATCCAATCCATCCATTTTGCCACCCCTAAAATTTAGTTTTATGTTATTATTTTATTTAATAAACGGTTAGACCATGGGTTTAACCGGTTGAATCAATTAAACTTTAACTCGAATGTTTCACTGGTTCGATCTCTGGTCTGATTTTTAAAACATTACTCTATAAAATTAGTCATTTATTTATTTTCAAACTCTTGTGACTAATTATAGTATTTGCAAATTGTTAAATATTAACAAGTGTGAGTAATGTGGATAATAGTCCCACATTGGATAAAAATGTGATGACTTGAGTATTTATAATTGAGAGAATTCATACCCTTATTATCTTAAGATTTTAGGTGAGTATGTGGTGTGTCTCTCACAAAGGTGTTCCTCTAGAAAGGAAGTTTCACAATGTTTCATGTTTCGTAGTGAAAATCGCATTTCCCACATATAATGGTTAGGAGGTATCCCATTGAACAGTTGAAGCTTCTATTTAATTTAGTAAAAATATTCCTTTTAAAATTACAAATTTATAATCAATATAAATATTTTTCGAATACTCTGAAATTAAAAGCTCTCAATATTTTTTTTTTGTTATATATTGTATTAAGAAATCTAGTCTCATAATATATTTTAAATCTTATTATTTAAGAGTTTTATTTTATATAATTAATTAATTACTTTTAATTTGTATAACTATACTCTTACCTATGATGAATACAGTTATTCAAAATTTTATATTTTGAATAAAATATAATCATTTCAAATTTGTATAATTTATAATTCATCTATTGTGGTCCGTGGATACTTTATAACTCATTCTAAATTTACTAAAACTGATTTAGCTGTCTGATATGTTTTATTTGTTATAAGGTATTTTATATCTTCTACACATCCATTTTCTTCTTCTCCATTCTCGGCAAGATACCAATGAATAATTGAATACAACAAAACATGCAAGGTACAGTTTAGAACAGTTTTAAGTCATGAAATATTTTCCTTCAAGTATGGAGTATGATAGTATATGATATATTTGATCTACTTTGACAAAAACATAATATTATCCACACATTTGTTAGTCATGCTCTATATTCTACTTCAGAGTTATTACTGATTCGTTCATCCGGAAAAAGAATATAAGGATTTTTAGAAATCAGCTTCCTAATCAAGAAGCTAAGGCTTAAGGAAGAGGGGCGTAGAGAAGTCTTTCCGATCCCTCTGTCTAAGAAGCTGTCTTTAAAAGCCCGCCAGACTGTCCGGCTAATGGGAATAGACTGACTATCGGATCATAGCTTCATTCGTTCGTTGAACCTTGAGCGCTAACTCGAGGGGTCTTGCTATGAGAATCTAGCTTCACTAACGCTCGGCTTAATCTTGTAAACCTTCGCACGTAAATTTTGGTTCTACATTCAAAAAATGTGACTCCTGAAAAAAAATCCACAATAAATGCGGCACCTAATTTAGTCTCTTACATGAAAATTTACAATAAAAGTTAAAACACAAAACAGTTCCTAACAGAAGAATTCATAATTCATAATTTCAAGCGACTATTTATGTTTTGTTTTCTTAAGTGCGACAATGTAAATCATGTTTGCAACTACATATCAAGATTAAGAAAAAAAAGTTTGATTAAACAATGTTGGTAAGACAACAATCAAAAGATATATCATATACAAAGTTTCATTTATAAAAATATATCACATCAAATTTTACAATGACATAGAATATATTTTCTACTAGCTTTTAACAATGTATTAAAATGTTACATATTAAAACACAATTATCTTTAAAATGTTACATATTAAACAATGCATCATTTAACATCTCTTTGAACATTGTAACATTGTGTTATGAAAAGCATGTATAACAAAGGATAAATAGGATAAACCATGTTCCAAAACATTCACCATGGTGAGCTCTAAGGTAGATGCCTAAAACACAGTCAAATGAGATGGATCACGAGGCTAACCCACATACACTCCCCCACTTTCAACTGAATCTCCCAGTAGACATCACATGGCATGTCACTTCTATCCACTCATTGGTCATTAAGACAACAACTGTGAGCATAGATTAGCTGCCTTCAAAATTTTAAGCCAAAGTAAAACAAAAAAAAAATTTAATGATAACAAAATAACATAAAAATAATTTAAGTTCATACAAAACCAAAACAACCATTCAAATATCCAATCACCAATAAGTTCAGAAAATACAATAATATCTAGTCACAATTCATACTGATAACCAGATTCAGGTTTTGAAGCTCAACCGAAAACAAGTGCCATATTTTTAACAAGCATTATAGGTTTATGATACATAAAACTTTAGAATCATAAGATTGACTACTCCATTGCCCCTCTAATCATCGTCTTCATGGTGGCGTCTCCTTCTCTTTTCTGATTTTTTAACTTCCCTGCCCTTCCTTGAATCATTATATCCATCACTAGAATCATTGTCAGATGACGACAGTGTCTTCTTGCTTTTCCGCTTGTGACGTGAAGAGGAATCCTCAGATGTTTCAGAATCAGAATCTGACAGACGGCTTCTCCTTCTCCTCTTCTCCTGCCTACTCTTCCTCTTTTTGTGACTATGTTCATCACTATCATCCGGAGACTTGTCCCTTCTGCTTCTTCTGTGCTCCCTCTTTTTCTTCCTCCTCCTCCTTTCACCGGAATCATCCGAATCACTAGCTGCCCTCTTAGTCTTAACACTCCTCTTCTTTGCTCTGCCTCTCTTTCTCCTCTTCCTGTCAGAATCTTTGTCTGACTCATCATCATCTGAGTCCTCCTTCTTTCTATAAGAACCTCTCTTCCCACTAACTTTCTTCCCTGACCTTTCAGCAATAGCCCTCTCAATCTCTGAATCAAACTCAGAATCTGAACTCTCGCTATCCTCTTCCTCCTCTTCTGAGCTCTCTACATTGCTTTTCCTATCCACCCTCTCAGACTTACCCTTCAGCTTATCCAATCCAACCAGAGACTGCAATGCTTCAGGGTCCTTCTCGTCATCTTTGATTTTCACGTAGTTCTTGCACTGAAACTTGAGGTGCCCAACACGGCCACACCTCTTGCAGGCTCCACGGGACACATCCACATCGGCATTGGTTATCTTAGCAAGCTGGAGAAGCCCTTGGAAGCTGGCATATGCATTCTCTGCATCAGGTTCTGCACTTGGCTGACTTTGAGAAGTGTCCTTGTCTTCCTTATTGGGTGCATAAGGGTCATAGCCAATAGCACTTTGCCATATGCCATGTGTTTGAAGGGCTGCACTACTGTGAACCCTATTGTTCGCAGGCATGCGAACCCTTCCCGCGGTAGCCGGCATATCTTAAGATTTCAATTTATCTCCTGAACCTGGGAAAAAGAAAGAAAAGAAAACTGTCAAGAACAAAACAACCTCATAAAAATCATCATGCTAAGACCAACCAAGGGCCTCTCACGTTAACTACTGCATGGATCTCATAAAATGCCCAAATATCATAAAGCAACAAGAGCAAAATGAAGTATAAAATCTCAACCTAAAATTCACAGTACCATAAGCTAACATTTAAATTGTGTGGCAATCATGAAAAATCTTGAACATAATAACAGATTCACATACATTAGCACTTGCTGGTTCAAGAATAAATATGCAAGTCCAACGTATGATTTTACGTCAATCACATCAAAGTGTTAGAACTTCCAATCTCTACTATGTGTTCAATCTTCCATATACAATATATAGATCCAATTACAGTATATGGGCAAGGTTCAACTTGACGATATTCTACATCCTGATAATGACTAGAAACTTCTTGAGATAGGTAGTGAGGCCTAGATGGTATATGTATTAATCTCTACTATGTGTTCAATCTTCCAAACACAAAATATAGATGCAATTACAGGATAAGGGCAGGGTTCATTTTGTCAATCTTTTTTCAGACTGATGATGACTAGAAACTTCCTAAGAAAGGCAGTTAGGCCTGGATGGAATACAACCAATATTCCAAAGAAAGGTACTTATGTCTAGATGACAACATATTAACACTCCCAAATGTAAATAGCCTATTTGTGTGTTCAGATCAGGTTCCAAACTCTTCCGCTTAGGAAATTATATGCAAACATAACACCAAACTTAAAGATTATGCCGCTTAAAAAAAGGAATTATATGCAGGAAAGGTTATCAAGACATAATAATTGACCAAATCTCAAGTATTAAGGGAAGTAACTAAAGCAACCAATGTCTTCAAACAATATATTCACCAAAACAAATTCATATCTAACAAAATAAAGTTATAACAGCACACTCTGTTACATCTGTACACCAAAAAAAAACAAGTTAGCAGGGGAGATGACTCTGAATTTGATGTTGCCGTTGCCAGTTAAAATATATAACTCCAGAATACAAATGATGGGTAAAAAGGGATAAGAAATCACTTTGATATGAGAAGTCATAACAAACTAAGTTCACTCCAATAGACTATACACTATGGACTATAGGCATGACTCATGATCACGCACACACATCAACAAATATTACATATCCTAATAACCGCAATGTAATCTACTAGTTTTATGAAAATAATACTGCCTTACTCATAAAAATTACAATCACATTGCACTGACAGGAAGTAGTTTTGGAAAACACAAAAAGGTAAATCATAATCATAAAATAAAGCCAATTAAACATGGCCCAAAATATGTACTTCAATAATGCAGAATGAAAATTTGTGGTTTCAACAAATAAAAAATACTTAGGTTTTTCCAATTGATGGAATAGTGAATTTCTTGCTCTTCAATACATGTTTGCTACTTGAGATGTATACAATCATAACTAAAAAAGTATACATATTATAGCTGTAGCTATATCTTAAATCTAGTAAACAAAAGTTTGACATAAACAATCTGGTTAGCTTTTAAGCCCTTATTGTGAAGTTATCATCATAATCATTGACCGCAATCGCGTCTAATGTCACTATCATGAGCTCTTTGGACAAATTCAACAGCTCCTTAAAAGAAGTATTCAAAAACATAATAACCGTGCAAAACTCACTTCCTTCATCATCATTGAGATGACATTCAAGGGAAAACCAATATTAACAATAACGAGCCAAGAGAGAATAATAAGCAGGCAAGAGAAAAGTCTTGAATAGCACGCTTGATAGTTTAAAATTTGGGAAACATAAATAAAATCTAAGAAGCTTAATATTAGATGTAACAATAGGGTTCAGAAGGATAAAATGCAGGCAAAAAGGATTTAAGAGAGAATACGAAATTCAAAGTGATCCAGATAATAGCTGCATCGGAATTTAACCAGCAGAAGAAAATAAACTGTTCATTCTTTTTTAGTATTCAGTAGTTAGTACACTACGCACCAATCCATTCAGAAATATCAATTCATTTAGGCTTCAGTATTTATCATTAATACAGTAGAAACTTGAAATAAACCTATTAATATTAATCACTCAGATCAGAGTTTATGTGTGAAGTATGGTATTTACAAGTTCAAGTCCTTAATTTCCAGAAGTTTTGATTTTTCACAGATCTGATTGTTCTCTATCATTATATGTTAAGCATTATACTATTAAGTAAATCATGATGGTAGTGATAACATAAGTTTATAATTTTCATTTACAAGCACTTCAAACTAGTTGGTTTTAGGAGATAGTTCACAATTTATAAAAACAAGGGACACTAGATGAATCCAACAGATTCATTCAACTTTCAATTGAAGAGTTTACAAGTTAGAGAAAAGTGGAAAAAAAATCATAATCAAACAGATGCACCAGACCCAAAAAGTAACAATATTACGCTAAACTAAACAAAAATTAAAAACATTGAAATTTCCATGGCCCAATCTAAAGTCCAATTGCTTTAACGGATCAATTATCAATTAATAACAACAAACACCCCAATCTAAACCTTTTGGACGATCAATATGCTTTGCCCAGATGGCCCAAAATGTTGTTTTCATGTAAAAACATTTCTCTTTAGTTTGGAATTCAACAATCATATAATTTAAAACATGGAACATTACAATTACAATCAGGAAATGCAAAGAGGGAAAAAGTGATACTAAATCAGAAATTGACCTAACCGTTCAATCGTAAAAAACCAAAACCCTAAATAAATCAAAGGATTATCACCGTCTTATTTCGAAATTGAAGCAAGAATCATAACCCTAAAAACAAAAATATCGCATAGAAAAATTATAGGTTGAATCTGAAATAGCGAGAAATTATAATTAACAAGAACAAGAAATGAACCTGATATGAGAAGTAGGTTAATCGAAATTGAGAGGAAAGCGAGAGATGTTGGATTTTTTTTTTTTTTTTGGCTTCGTTCTTATATCAGAGTGTGGAAGGTTCTTTTTAGATTCTTCTTTCTAGGGGTAACGCTTATGGTTTGTTTGGTATAGATAAAAGTGGAAGGAAAGATAATCCAAGAATTGAAAGTTTCTTAAAATTGTTTTTCATTCATACCAACTTGATTTTCCTTCTCTTTAGAAAGAAAAGGTAAGGAAAGATTTAAAATTTATGCTTAACGAGTTTTTGTTTTGATTCTGAATATTTTTTTATGAAGTTTTTATATGTTATTTTTTAGGTTTATTGTAATTTTTTATTCTTTAATTTAATTTGTGTTTTCAGTTTAATCCCTTATGTAATAAACGTTGGTGGCAGGTCTTTTAATTGTGATTTCGTTCGTCAATGTGATCCTTTCGGTTAAAATGTGTGCAGTTCTGTTAGTTGTTGCTAGGGAGGTATTCTAGCTGACTTTCTTAACGTGACATGGATTTATGGTTTGACATTTTGATTAAAAAACATCAGAATTTTCAACGTTTCATTTTATCCCTTTTTACTTCATTTTCAACGTTTCATTTTATCTCTTTGCTGGAAACTCTAATGAAGCAACCATTAGCATTCATCTTCACCTTCGTTCGTGTGGCTATCATCACTCTTCATTTTCGTTCATCAAGGTATGGTTATCATACATTTTCGTTCGTTCATCATTCTTTATCTTCAGTTTGGAATTTCTCATTTTTGTTCTTCTTCACTTTAGGGTTTATGTATTATTTGATTCTGAGTGAAAGAGGAACAAGTTCCATTATCTGTTTTGAGGTACGAATGATGCAAACTTTATATTCTTCCCCTTCATTTATTTTAATTTTCATTTAGGATTTTTCATTTGCGTTAGCTTTGAATCTCATTTTTGTTGTTCTTCATTATAGGGTTTGTGTACTGTTTGATTCTGCGTGAAAGAGGAACAAGGTCTATCATCTGTTTTGAGGTACGAATGATGCAAACTTTATATTTTTCCTCTTCATTTATTTTAGTTCTTATTTAGGGTTTTATGTAGTTGTTGTATCTAGGTCATGGAGAGTCGTTTTAAATGTGTTGTTCATCATGGGGGTGAATTTGCTGAGTTAACGAAACTAGGTTATAATGGGTTAGAGGAAATGTGGAAAGTTGAGCCTGATTTTTGGAGTTACTTCGAAGTGTTAGGTGGGTTAAAGGACTTAGGTTATCCAACTATAGAGAGCCTTTGGTATTATGATCAAATGGAGTGTAATAGCATTGTGGAGTTGAAAGTGACAATGAGATTAGGAGGATGCATATAATTGTTGTGTTGACTAGGGAAATTCATTTATATGTTATACACCTATCCTACAACCTAAGGTAATTGAGGAACCAATACTATCACTTGAGTATAGGATTGAGGAAATAGGTCCCACTGAAACTGAGTTAGGTGAGAACATTGATGAGGGGACCACTTGTGTTGAGAATGTAGGAGACAACACCAAAAAGTTGGAAATTAACTTTGAGAGTGTTATGGATGAGATACATGATGTGGAAGTTGATGTGGAAGGAGGAGAAATAAATGACAGGGGGGTCACAGATGTTGTACATGATGTGGAAGTTGGAGACAAGGGGACCACAAATGTTTTACATGATATGGAAGTTGGAGACAAGGGGACCACAAATATTTTACCTGATGTGGAAGTTGGAGACAAGGGGACCACTGAAAGTGAACATGGTGAGGTAGCCACTGAAATTGAGCATGATGAGGAGAACGCTATAGTTGAACAAGGTGAGAGAGATGAGGGACTGAACTGTAACAATGATGGATACTGTGAAGTAGAAGATAATGAGAATTGTAACATAGAGGGAATAGAGGTAGAAGATGGTGGCAGTGATGATAGTGCATTGGAGATCAATTTTGAAGATTCTGATGATTATGTGGTTATGAATGAGGAGATACCAGAAACTGAACATGAAGTGTCTGAAGATTGGGTGGTTGAGGAAAAAGGGAAGGGTAAAGGAAAGGATAAAGGGAAAGGTAAAGGGA